TACTATGACAATATTATGATAAATCCGGAAGAGATGGCAGTCCGGGAGAGAAAAGCAATCCATAATTATAGGAAACACCACTAGGTCATGGTCTTTTAAAAATATTGTAATATAAAGGATATATATGTGCAAAGTATTAGCGCATTAAAATCTAACAAACGGCTGCACGTCAGACTTTGTAGCTTTTGAAGCAACCGCGCTTCGTATAGAACTTACCTACTAACAGAGGTTTGTTTATGGTAGAGGTGTGTAGCGTGACGTGCGGCAGGCCGTACCTAATCAAATACATAGTGTAAAATTATGAATACGTATACGTATTGGAAAATTAGTTAAGAACTGTATTTAGGGAGAATTATAACTCCTCTTTTTATTCAACATTATTTACTGAATTGTCTGTTCTCTATGGATATGTGATAGATAACTGAACTGAATATTTTGATGTGCGTAAAATAAGAGCCAAGAGAAGATAAAATAAAAACGTACAAATATAGTACTGACCATATGGTGTAAGATGAGAGTAAATTTAAGTTTTTTTATTTTATTTTATTGTAATAAAAATCATTTAGCAATTAAACATTTTGGTACAAAAGATATTATGTTAAAATTATTACAAATTGGATTATGAGAACATCTAAAAAACTGCGGCGGTCACTCCCGAACATAAACCAGATTATTTATAACCTGTGCAGAGATTACACGATAATTCGTTAGTTTTGTGAAGTATGCAATCTGATACCTAACGTTTGGTATCTTAAACCCGAAGCTTCATTAATATTAAATATTGTTCTAATGTTACCCCGTATGACGTAATTTAAGAACGGCCCCTTACTATAAACAATAAAATAAGGATCGTGATTAACTTGTCCAAAGAATCGTATACACAATAAAGCAACATCTGATAAATTATGATCTCGATTTATAATCATCTTTTACACAGAAGTCTTATCCACGTATATTTTGTTTTTATTATTATTTCACTTATTTATCATCCCTTCGCATCGTATTAAATGATACACAATAATAAATCGGTTGTACTTCTCAAACTATTTTATCATGGCTCACTAACCTGAAAGTTTCATTGCTTTGTTTTTACACGTCCATTTTGGCATTTAGCTCTCAACCAAACTAAGTAATTTCGTTGTTACACTGCTATTAATATATTGTTTTTTACTAAGTAGTTAACTTTTAAGTTAATAAAAAGATACAGAAGTCGCATACAACTCCCGACCATCAGTCATTATTTTATTTGAGTAAAACCAGTCCTTAAATACTGCACTCAATGCAGTGTGCACATTTTCACAATCAGTGCAATTTATAAGTACAATATTCATCTAATATTTAAGTAACGAAACCCGCCAGCCGCAACATTTCGTAATCTATTGACAAAAAACAAATACTTCTTTTGTAAATATCTAATAGGACAAACAAACTTGCCAAGCAAACTGAAGATATTCCTTTTTATTTATTTTTAATTTAAAACAAGTCAAGATATCTTCAAAGCCATTAATGATTCTGCACAGAGAACATATTTTGCAAAGCGTAGTTTCTGCATCACTCATTTATTCACACTGAGCTCAGTCGATGCATAGACACTAACCACATTATTATAAATATTTCCTTAAAAAATTAAGTGTAAGGAAGGATATGCAAACATCTTGTGTAAGCAATGTTGGGTAAGCATGCTTACTAATCTTTACTGTATTACGTTTGACATTACTATTCTGGCAATTCATAAATCATAAGTCTTTTTCGTTTTAAAGAGTAAGTAAATATATTTTTAAATTATTAACTACTATATTTAGTAAAAATATCAGTTTGTGGAAACTAAGCAAATGTCACATTTAGCTTGAATGAGCATCTTAACTCTACAAATGTAACTGCAAAATTTGTGATTTTTCAATTAAAGCTACTGGACTTAATGACTTTTCCATTACACTGTGTCATACCATGAACGTGCTATGAACGTATCAAGCACAAAAACAAACGATACAGTAAATTATGCCACTTACACTGGATCAACCGCGTAATAAGCTCGTATAATACTCATTAAAAAACATATTCTTTATATTTGTATTAACATATTATTTGAATTATGCAATAGTATAAAACCGACATCTACTAAACCAGTCGTCATAAAGTAATTTAGTAAGGGGTCCGGATACTGGTTTAATTTTTTTCCAAAGAAAAATTCTATGCATAGGATGGGGGATATCGAAGATGACAAATTAAGTCTTTTTATTAATGGCTTATCTGCGCGTTTCGCACAATTCTGCCAATATCAAGCGACTCATTAGTTAAATATTTTTTTCTTTGTTCTATGTGTTTGTGATTTATTTGTGTGTAGATGAATTTTGATGTGCGTATGTACACGTCGAGGTTTTATAAACTAAGGGGCGTAACTTCACCACCGAAACCATGTTCTTCGGTGAGAGGAGCCCTGCAATGTGATAATTAATTTCTATATATCGGTGAAGTTGATGTTGTCAAAATTTCAATATCTATTTCCAAATTAGAGCCAGCCCTGTGATTCTGTAAAAATCCAGACCCGAATTCGAATACACTCATGTATCCGAATTCACGTCATCTAGTTGAAATTCTATTGTTTCAATTTTTTTGTATAAAAATACAAAACAAAATTGATCGCATGTACGTGTCTCAGATGTTCTATTCTTATATCATTTCGAAACTCACTTCACTTATGCCACGGATTGTTATTACCAATTCAAAGTTGAGCGGATGCCGCTTTTTGAAGTGCAGAGACGCGTATAAAATTATGATTATCAAGACACCTACAAAATAACCGATTCAAAACATTATTTTTATTATATTTATTTATAATAACACTCTTTATTCATTTTTTACATTCTTGGATGAGTCGAGCGATTCTTATTTTTACTTCGCTAGAAAGGACCATGAATCTGGAAAAAATCGCCTAACGTAAGAAAGGAATGACATCTTAAGTTTCATTTGGCCACGACACAAAAGTATATATATTCAATAACGTAATTGACTTTTGACTTTGACTGTAAAATTAAACGTGCAGATTTTATATAGGTGTGCATAACAATATTTGGCAGTCAGCAGTTAGGAATTCGACCCTGCGCGTTTTGTTTACGAACCTTAATTCTATACTATATCGTTCTGGCACGGTCCAACACAAGAGCGACAGTGTCGGAACGATCTAGCTAGTGTATTTCGCCTGGTACTGTTGAATATAACTAATATTATTTTGGCTGGCAAGTTCATATTACGGTCATGGTATTATACAATATAGTAGGCAAACAACTTTAAACGAACCAAAAACTAAGTTTTGCAACATCTCAAACATAACATTATTATAAATTTGTATCTCGACAATAAACATTGACTTATCCAAGAAAATATTAATTCGAGTTATTATAACACTAGATGCAGATTATAAGCATTCATTTCCACATAAATTTTAAAATATTTCTTCATTATTAGTAATTATAGACGTCAACATTTATACAATTCTGTATTAAATAAAATACACCAAATCACTATTAATTCAGAGTATTAAAAACAAGTCCTGCATTAAAACAATAGCCATTATTTGCAATCGAATAAATAATTAAGTATTAACACGAATTCCTAAGACAGATCCCGCAAAATATGAAACTAATTTATGTTACTTAAAGTAAAGTAATGAAATAATTCCCAGTGTTAACATATTACAGAAGAGATATTAGTTTTAAGACTATTGGAGTCTGCTGAAGTTTAAACCAGCTCGCTTCAGAGCAATACACCTGATCAGTGCGTACTGATCTACACACGTAAAGACCGTGTAGCTTAAAAAATTTATGACTGAGTTTTAATTGAGATGGTTCAAACAAGATACAATTAATGTAAATACATAAGACCACATTGGACAAGTTAACAGAATAAACCACCTAGGCAGCGTGTTCAACACAATATCAAGCCTAAATGAAATTCCATCACTTCCAGTATCACGGAGACGGTCTGTATGACCGTATGGGTCATTGCTCTGAAACTAGCCTAACATAGGCTTAACAGGTAGTATACATTCCAATGACAAATAAGCAGATATATTAACAACAATAAAAATCTATAAGAAAATGTTCCCTTATTACACTGCCTTAGTTGACATACTCGATAAATATTAGCAGTATTGTATATATCACTGGCTACAAGGGCCGGGGCAGTGACGACATTTGAAACCGCTGTGCCAATTAAAATTATTTTATATACATAATAATATACTCACATGAGATATATTCTATAATTTACAAAGCGGACTAATCTAGTACGAACCTTCAGAAAAAGATAGAAATGTAAATTTTGTATACTTCGCTATTATGTCCATCGAATCCATAACATGATCAAGAATTTGTAACATATTGATAAAATTATTCTCATTAATCGTCAAGTAACGACGAAAAGCATCTATCTTTTCCAGCCATTAGTCTGCTTTGAAATTGATTAGTTTCTGAATGATAAAAATTAACAAAAATTAGAAAAAGAAAAACCTAAAGAAGCAGATGTTATTGCAGAATTAAGTTATCACTGAAAAGTAGATGCAATATATTCATGCAAGTTTCAAAAGAGAGACTAGATTCTAACAGTTCTAGAGAGAACTTATGTAATATTTATACTGGACTAACTTCGCCTCATATGGGATATGCCCTAAAACATTTCAAAATATCTTCTGTTGTACGGTATTACCTGTTTTTATTTGACCAAGAGCGCGGAAAAAATGGCAGTATATCTTTTTGACATTATACAAAGTACTTCACGCCAACCAAGAAATCTTATTTCAATTTACTACATAATTGACCTAATACGACTTTAATCGTATTTCTGTTCGCGGCAAGATATATTATAAATTCCATGCACATATAAATCGTCCAAATATGATGAGATCGCACGTGTCTTAGGTATCATTAAAAAAGATATCAAAGATTCTATAATTTTATAATTTACGAATTGAATATTTTAAAATTTGTGTATATTGTACTGACGTTTCAAGTACTGAGGCATCGTTGGCCTATCTATCCTTATGTAATACTATTATAATCATAAAATTTTATTAATGATATTAATTGCTAAAAATATCTTTCTTCTTATTAGAAGAAGAATATGTTACTACTTTCGAAAAAATTGGAATGTACACTAGGAAATATGTCTGTCTGTTCTAAGCGGTAAAGGCAAGTATGCGGTTTATAATTACAGTTGATGCCGGCCCCCACATTGGAATTGGCCTGAAACAATGGAAGACAGTTATCATAATGATAGCAAGACACTTTGTATATACCTAAACATATTTAGTTTTGAAACATATTAATCATTATATAAAAATAACAATATTGGTTACAATAAATTAACATTTTCTTATAGTAAAACAATGAATAATTTATAATACATGTCTTAGATGTTTGAACCTGAAACTTTTCACTATCCGGATAATCGCCCTTCCAATATAACTATCTCAGAAATGCTGTAAAATATTGTCACTTATTCTACTAGTAAGAGATAGGTTATATAAAGTATTTTTCTATAAGGTAAATAGTGAATGTAAATTCATCATATACATTAATATCTTTTTAAAAATAGCAATAACAGAGACACAACACATTAGGTTAGCACCAACATATTATGAATATGACTATTACAACTATACTGATTATGAAAATTCTATACCTAAGATTAGTTACATCATAGGCAGGGGAATATTCGGTAGCTCGGTGGCGTAGTGGATAAGCGCTGCGGCCCGCGATCGTTGCGTTAAGCAACTTTCGCAAAGGTCGGTCACGGGATGGGTGGCCAAATAATTATTATCTCGAGCTACTCCGTGCTTCGGAAAGCACGTTAAGCCGTTGGTCCCTTCTGCATTTGCAGTCGTTAATATCCTCCAATCCGCATTGGGCTAGCGTGGAGGGTAATGGCCCATTCTCATTAATCATCCATAAGGAAAGCCTGAGCCCCTGCAGTGGGGACCTAAAAAGGGCTGATGATGATGATACGCAGGGGACATAGAGTTAGGCGCGGGAAATAATGTTAGCTACATGGAATGATGCTCAGCGCTAAATAATACATTTATCATAACAATTATTAAGTTTGAAATTATTACAGCAAAATCTCATATATGTACATTTTTATTATTCGCAACGTAAAACTTGTGACGTAAACGTATAATAATGCAAAAAAAGGTATTCATAAAATAACTGATTTGCAGTGATTGTTTTGTTCTTAACCTTAACCATGACGTGAGTTCCATACCCATGAGATCCCTGATTTAATATCCTGTCTAGTCAATATTAAAAACGCTTTTCTACATTATACATTAAGTATAGGAAACTTAAACTGATATAGCGGTTGAATTTCGCTAATCATAATTTATCTAAAATTATTTTTGTATTAAAAATTGCGCTTCGCCGCTTATTTCCGAAAACTTAACAAAGATTTGTAAGACAAAATCTAAACATTGATTGATTTCGCTTTACGAATTCGATTTTTTTCCTTCAAACGCGCGATCACTAAACCGAAAAGCGACGACAATAATTAAGATTTTTGTATGTACTAAAAAATCCACGTGATTTGGGTGATAAAGGGGGTGTAGTCTTAAGCCTCACCATGTCTCTCCAAGGGGGAGAGAGGTTAAAAAAGTTACATCAAAATTACATTAAAAAAAAATACATCACGTGTTTAATGAACGAACCCATTTATTGAAAAAAGATTGTATTTGATATTTTATGATAATACAAATAAAATACAAACAGTATACAGATCATAAGTATCGATTTCGCTAAGAGCTTTCGCAAGAGCAAGTAGACGTTAAAGCTAAGGCACATATTGACTATATTAGACGTTATTTATTACATTAACATGATCGATCGCCGGATCGATACGGAGCTTCAGGCAGAACGTCGTTCAAAGTAAACAAGAAAAAGCTTCTGAATAATTATCAAATATTTCGCATTTTCCCTATCCATTATAGACTTACGCATAAGACTAGTAAGACTAGTAATACATATAATAATTCGCTTGTTCTACTACAATTACATTTTTAGTTTTATAAATTACGTTATCAAAATAATTATAAATTTAAGTAAGCTTTATCAGCTGATTAGGTTACCTATTGCATAGCATAATGTATTTAACATTTCTGTTGAACAATCACCAAATGAATAACAGGTAATTTTTTTGTGTACATTATGCAATATTCGCATTAGCATTATTTTGTTATATCTTAGAAAAAAAAATATTATGTGTGAATAAATCAGATCTATTCCATATACTTTCAATGCACACATAAAATCCATGTTTTTTGAGGGTCATATATAACATTAGCCCTATTGCGTCCTGACTGCAAGGGCTCAGGCCTTCCTTATGGATAGTTAAGGAGGATGAGCCAAGACCTCCAATCTGGCCTAATGCAAATTGGAGGGCATTAATGACTACAAATGCAGCCGGGTCCAAGGGCTTAACGTGCCTACTAAAGCATGGAGCAGCTCGAGATAATATTTTTTTTTTAACCCATCGCGTGACCGACCCTTACGAAAGTTGCTTGGCAAAAACGATCGTGAGCCCGGCACTTATTCACTAAGCCACCAAGCTACTTATAGAGGGTATATTATATTTATAGAATAATTATTAATTAATTTATGCAATAAACTAAATTATTTTGTAGCATCATCATCATCTGCCCATTAAATCTGCTGTATGGATATATGTAGCCTTCTCTACGGACGAGATCAAATATGAACTCAATATCCAGGCTCAGTATGAATTATTGAGTGTTAACTACTGATACAGCCAAGACCAACTGCCTAACGTGCTTTATGGACACGGAGGAGCTCGTGATAATTCATTTTTGACACCCATTCTATGACCAGCGAAAGTGTAAGTTGCTTAACCACCGCGTATGCTAATCATTGCGCCAAGCGATTTTACATATTAGATTTGTCTATGAATGTCTACAAACACGTTAAATTTGTACTCGAGACTCCATCTGGGTGACTGACTATTATATATACAAAATGTATCCACTCTTGCTCCATAGCATCGTAATACGATTTTTTTACCAATGTTCAAAACATGTTTTCGAAGGCCCTCTTGGTACCAAGCAAATCATAAATTATTAATCACAACTTATTTACGAACATTAGTAACAACAGTAATTTTTAAGCATCAGCACCATAATAATATTAAAAAACATAAAACATCTTTATTTTCTAGTTTTGTTTGGGCACAAATATTAAAAGGCATTTTATATTTCTCAAACAGCTTTATGTGTAAATCTATTGTATTTATTTGTAGACTATAATGTTGGAAACTTTTTGTACTTAAAACAACAATAGATAGTCACAACAGGTAATAATGAAAAGAAAATAATTACCCTCTTCTGTTCACTTTGTTTTTATAGAATATTGACACATTTAAATAGAACATTCTGTTCTATTTAAATGTGTTGAAATACATATTAACAAAGCATATAATAATAGACAATAAATCAGAATGTCAAATAAACATACCTTATTTATCTTTGGCAGGTTTCGTTGCAGTGGATTTTACTGATTGTGGTATTATAGTAATCTCCTCATTAATTTTTAATGGTTTAAGTGTTTCATTGGTCTTAGAGGGCTGCGAGGCTGTCTTATTCTTATCCATGACTCGTTTTGCTACCACACTATGTGCTGAATACACGTGGTTTTCAAATTGTTTATACATACCAAATGTAGCTGTACATACAGTACATTTGTATGAGAGATGACCTGGCTTTAAAGTCATGTTGTGGTCACGAGCCACATGGTTCAAAAGCTTCCATTGGTAAACCTGAATAACATAATTGCAGTATTTAGCTAGATTTGGGGCAAACAGTAAAGTTAAAATGGACTGTTGCAAAAGCTATAAAGACTATGTTCCAGATATGTAATTAATTATATCCCTAGGCATATTACTATATCATGGCTTTATCTATCTTACATATGATTGTATACAACAAGATCTTGTAAACAACAGTACTTTAGTAAATTGCTTCAAAATTAATGACAATAAACAATTATTAAATATTATGTCCTCACCCTGCCACAAACGGGACATCTGCCAGCATCCTTCCCTTTATTAGCGGCTTCCTGCATGGAACTCGTAACCAGCCCATGAGATCCTAACAAGTGCCGTTCGAATCCTTGATCAGTGAAGAACCTAAAATATCATAAATAAAATTCTTCAACTTTACGTAATAGAAATACCATTTAGGAGCATGGCGTGGACCTGCTTGTGTCCATCATAATATTATTATTTGTGGAACATAAAGTGACAAAGATTAATTCATTTTAAAAATAGTGTATGAATGAATTGGCAATAAAATACGGGTATACATATAAAGGATTTTCATACTGTATTATTTCAATGAAAACATGGATACAAAAAACACATACTCGTATTATTAGGTTAGTAGTGATAAGACTTTTAGTGAGTGTAGTATAAAATTAATCAACGTAGATGCAGTATGTACTTTTTTAGAGATTTAAAGTGACACACCGAAAGACAACATAATATTGTTTCTTCCTAAACCATCAAGAAAATAATCCTTCATTATACCCAAGAAAGTGGTATATGCAAAACGATTCTGCATTATCACTGAACAAAACCCATCCACCAATACTATAATGCTGGCTGATTTTATTTACAGTTGTAAGATTTCTAGTGTATTCTGTGAGCAAATTCCAACCACTTTTTTTAATATAACATTATTTGGAACTTATTTTATGTGAATCTTTTTATTTTTAGCTTATAATTGTCTCATTATAAATAACTTAATTATCTAAAATGGTTGCTATTTCTGTGGTTTAAGATAAGAAGTAGATGTATGACATCATACCTACGAATAAAGAGAAGGCATTGCTGAAATACATGAATCTTTTTTATTTTTAATGTATATTTCTTATCTTGTATATTTAATACAGGATTATCTGTAAAACATCAGCAACCCCAGAGGACTAGCTTTTAACTTTAACTCAGCATGTTAAACAATGTACCCCCTCATCTATTATTTGATTACATAAGCAGTTATAGCAAAATATGTACACTTGAGTATTTTTTTATAAATGTCCCACATTTATTCTTCTCTCTAGTTTAATGTTAGATTTCTTTAAAAAAAAGATGTAAACAATTTATAAAAATAAATACTTAGTTAACATTATTTTACCTGGTTCTAAATGAAATGGAAGACATAAAATGGAATATTGTTAAATATAGCCTCACCATGGATTTATTATTATTTGTGACTTAATGATGACTATGTATACTTCGTATTGCTGTTTAAACTTTCTCTGGACTACGTCAAACATATCAAAACCAAAAGCCATTCTCGAATTTTAGCGAGACTAACGAACGGCGATTGATTTTTATATATAGGAATAGAAAATATAGATTAAGATATTTAATACTTAAAAATATCTATATACATATTTAAACAGTGTCCACTCTAAATGTAAAAAAATAATATCCAAACTTTTTCCTGACCTTTTATCAAAATTTCCCTTACCAATTATCTCTTTTAAAACAATTCAAAATGTTTAATTATTCAGCAAGAATTTGCCCTATTCAGCAAGAATTTGTTGCATATTTAATTATTCATACAGGTTGCTTGCTTCCGAAATATTCGTTCGCCACAAACACGCGATACTACCAGGAGCACTGAGAAACACTCTGGCGAAATAAAAACAATGAAACGGTAAACCGAATAATTCGACCGAATATTCGACGGTTAAGCTTAAACTGAATATTATTCGGTATTCCGTTATTCGGTAAAACTGCTATTTTGCGCATCTCATTTCGAATTAAAAATTCAGGTCTTAAACACAGTTTGTATTGAATGTATTTTAAGGTAAAAATTAAACAAATATTCATGATCAATTTGTGAGATTTCAAATCACTGTAATAGCAAAATTTTTACAAAGATTTTATATCTATTCCCTGACTTTAGAGTTGACCTTAATGTTTCCCTGACTTTTACTGACTATCCCTGACTATCTGTTACTTCCCTGAATTTTGTAGAACTTTCCCTGATTTTCCAGAAATTGGACACCCTGGTAAAAGTGAATCGTCGAAATGTATGTACGCGTATAACTTCCGAACGACTACACCAAATTGTTTTTTTTTTTTATGTTAATCTTATTGTCAGGACAAGGTTGGAATATAAGAAAAATTATTAAAAAACAAATCATCAGCCCTGACTGGAGATATGGTAATATCATAAAAATTACCTGAATTGGCATTTCTGACAGTTGAGTGGTGGTCGATTGTAAATCATTTTTGGATGAATTTTCACTTTATGTATCCATTGCATATGGTTTCTTAACTGCTCCAAATCTTTAATGTATCCATCACAAATCTCACAGATAACAAAAGAATTTTTATTATTAGCTAAATTAGTGGGTTGGGATGCTTGATTAGGCGCAGGTTGTCTTGGTAAGGGAGTAATAGAAATAGATGGTTGGTGTGAAGACTTTGGTTTGTTGTTGTTCTGAAATAAACATGAATAATTATTAATTAAAGAGTAATAAAATGTGGTCAAGCTCTCTACAGTTCTTTCTCCCCACTTTATGTACCTTCACGCCTGATCCCCGTACTTAGATAAATAATACTCACAATTTGATAGTTATTCGCTATATTGAGTGTAGATGTGTTATTTTGGCGCACCATACTAGGCCCACGCATTATGGGCACACCATGAACAGGTGGCCGTTGAGGTACACTTATCGGAGATCGCCCTCGTGGTCGGTATACAGGAATCCCACCAGCTAGCGGGCCCACATTTACAGGGGCCCTAACAGCAGCGGGAACTGGACTACGATTGAACGCGTTTTGGTATGGACTCATTACATTATTACGCGGCCGTGATAACTGTAAAATTAACACCAATGTATGACTTTTATTACAGAGATAGAACGCCATACTGAATGTTAGTAATAAATAATAGCACTTAATTTAGTGATATTTAACGTTAATAAGAATAAACATTTAATTTAATATTAGTAAAGGACGTAAGATTATATTTAATTGTATTTTTATAATCGTTTTTAAAAAGATGTGAATAAACTTTTGGGCATTTTTCATTAAAAATATTCTCCAGTATAGCATTGTTTGCTAAATTGATCAAATAAAATAATTTAAATTTACTTTTAAGCTTTGTGGTATCTTAGAAATACTATTGTTCATTTCAGGACAAAGACTAAAAAATAAGACAGAAAAGTTTTAGCAAAAGCACATTAGCAATAAATAGTACCATCCATTGTGAGAAACAGTAATGCACAAAATAAAAACATCACATGTTGTTAAATCACCAATATTAAAATTATAAAATAAACTAAATTATATTAATAATCTTTAGTATTACTCACCTTTGGTATCTTTGCTGGTGGCTCCCAATCAATAGGAGGTGCAAGATTTGAATCAGGTTTAAATTTCTTAGCACAAGTAATCAAATGCCGCGCCAATTTTCCTTTACCGTTGTCTTCAAATTGACAATTGGTACACTGATGTAACGATGGAGCTTTCTCTAATTTACCTCTTATATTATGAACAGATTCCATATGATACAAAATTTCATGAGGACTACGAATTTCAAATGTGCAAAAATTACATTTATAAACATTATTTTTCATATGTGGCGTCTCAAGATGCTGCGACATTATGAGCTTCGATTCTGTTTTAAATGTACAGAACTCACATTTCTTTTGAGTAAAATTATAAGGTGCATTATTTTCTTTACTTAATTCTAAATTTTTCATGAGTTGTGCTATTGAAGATTCTGTAGCCTTTGTACTATGTCCAGATTTTTTCTCTTTATAAAGTTTTCTATTTTGCTGCTTCAATAAGTCACTTTGAACATATTCTTGTACAAGGTTTAAACCAATATTAATAAAGAATTTGCCCAGAGAACAATCCATGGAACTTTTTTCATGTGATTTGCTCGAACAAATCTTATCTACAGTGAGATCTGCAACAACTTTAATTTGATCTATAGCTTCAACTTTATCTTTCACAACAATTTTATCATCAACATCACTCAAAACTTCATCTTCCGATTCTGTGGCAGATTCACCATCCCAAGATGCATCGTCTTCTTCATTTCTCCTTTTTTCTGTCAAATTAAACAAAGCTTCACGATAAAAAAAATATACTTCAGCATACTGCTGTGACAGTTTTATCAAAATATAATAACCAACTACAATATTCAATATACCTAGGTAAGCAGCAAAGCTTAAGCTTCCATTGTCTGACAATGCTTATCACTTAAATTTGTAATGTAATACCTAACAAATATTTTAAGTATGTTACATAATGAAACTGTACCTTTTTTAGATTTCTTTTTTTTGTTTGTCTCTTCTTCATCACATTCTTCTGATTTGTTAAGACTGTTAATATTTTCAGAATTATCAGACTCAATATCTTCTCCCTTTTCTCTTTTATCCTGCTTTTCCTTTTCTCGTTTTGCTTTTTCTATCATTTCCTCTTTAATTTTATCTTCTTCAAGCTGTTTGCCTAATTTATCAACAAATTCCCTAAAAGCTGTTACGGAAGGTTTTTCATAGACGTAAGGAACTATGAAAGATGGAGCTTCCACAACAAACATATCATCAGTCAAAGAGGGTAAAATTGCTGGTTGTGGATTTTGAGTATTTTGGGAATTTTGAGATATCATTGTGGATGTGTTATTATTCTTACTACTAACTGGAGTTACTGTTGTACCTCTAGCAATGATACTTTGATACAAACTTTGAGGATTTATAGAATTATTAGAAGATACTGAATTTTTACTACTATGCATTGTATTTAACTTGTTTAATGATGTGTTGGAATCAATAATAACTACTGTGGGTTCTTTCTTCTTAATGTTAATATGATCATATTTCATCTGTTTTGCTGCCATTGCTACTAAAGCCCTGGTATCATTAATAACTATTGGTTTACTTTTACGTATTAATGGGTCAACAGGTTCCACTTCTTCTATATCAGACTCATCTCCATTTTCAGCATCATCTGTATACCGTTTTCGTTTTACAGCTCTGCTACTCCTTCTGAGTTGTACTTTCTCTTTTGGTTTATTAGTATCTATCTCTTCACTGGCTATAACACAATCATCATTTTCATAATCACTATCAATTTCATGTACCTCTGTGATACTACCACTAGGCCTTTTCTCACTATCTAGTACAATTGTATCACTAATTTTATGATTACTTTGGCTTTCCTGTGAAGTATCATCATCATGTCCAACAGAGTCTGAATCAGAATCGATACTGACTGTATACTCTGCTTTAGCTTCTGCAGAATTAGCAGAGCCTTCTTCTGCCATAGAATCATCCCCAGTCTCATCTTCATTGATGGAATTCTGGAAGACAAAAACATTTTTTGTCATAAACTTGTTTGAAAATAAAGTTAGCTCAGATTTGACAATGGTATAAATTATTGGCTGGAAACATTTTGTAAACAAGAATACTTTAACTAATTTGATGAGTCTGCAATATTTGAAACAAAATAAAAAACAATATAATAGAATGTTTGCTATATCATAAAGTATATGGTGAAAATAAATTTTATTGGACTAAATTAACAAAAATAAATACTAATTTGATAACATAATATAGATTTTAACAAAATCATCAATTTATAATTGGGTGTTTATAGTACTATTTACAATAACAAATTAAAATTTTCTTTTATGATTACGATTATTTTATTATTAGACAAATATCAATTAATATTTCCATTCCCATATAAGACAGAATTTGAAAAATAAAACATAATTCTTAACAACTGCTGGTTTCCCATCATTTTACTAGAGCCACCTTTGTGGCTTTAAGATATTTTATATGTATACTTTGTAATTGCAAGAACTTGGTTTTACAATATAATATAATAAAGAATAGCCTATATTCATTATAAATTAATCATGTTAATTTCTTTGAACTGAGTAGACTTTAAATTAAATAACTTATATTATTATTAGTTATTAAATGTGAGCCAGAATATTCAAATAAGATATATATAATATATATATATAATATATATAATAACATATGAAAGATTTAATTTTACTAAATAATAGATGTGGTGATAAAAACTAAAAAGAGACTGACTAAATATATAAAACATTATTTAGGTACCTGATCAATTTCATTTACAGTTCCATTTTTGTTTATAGAACATTCGTCTTCAATTTCATCATTTATCTGATCAGTTTCTTGTAAATCTGAAATCTTGCAATTTGTATGAGAACTATTTGTTGACTCTGGGTCAGATTGATTGCCATTGTCACAGGAACCTTTTGTTACATTTTCTGTAGATTCTTCAATTAGCGTTTCTAAGCTTTGTTTATTTGTATCATGAATAGAACTCTCATCCACTAGTTCTCTGACATACTGATCTGCTATATCTTCCTCTCCATTATCTTCAGCCCCATTGATAGAACCACTTTTTATGACATCACAGTTCTCTGTGTTAGTGCAATTCTCATCATCCTTCTTGTTGTCCTTATTCTCGGAGACAACTTTAGTTTGGTCGGGTGAAGCCATGCCATTGACATCTCCATTCATTTTGACCAAAGGCTACATTCCATGTAACTCTTCCCTGGAAAAAGAACAACACTTTCATGAGCAAAACATAACCTAATGGTAATGTTTTGATCATCAGATTGATACACAAAAAGATATATATTTTTATAGCGAAAACCCCCTCCCGCCCCTCACTCCCCCTGGCAATGGCAAGACACTAGCAATCAAAATGGCGGTTCCATGGTACAGCTCTGTAGACGTGTACATAACGAAATCAAAGGTCATTCAATAAAATAAATAATTTATTTAACAATATTTGCTAACCAACTACTTTGCTCTATTTTCGTTTGTAAGAATTTGTAAAGTTCATATTCAGTCGTAACGAACCTCCAATAACAAAAACAATACATGCAATTTATTAAATATACCTACTTATAGAATGATGACGATGAAAAACTACAGGGGAACAGTTTTATCTAAAAACAATATTAGCCTGAAATTTAATGTTTTGAAGTAACTATCATAATTATTACAAACATTAATTGACAAAACCTAGTAAACAATCGGTGCCGGTATCATAGATTGATTAAATCGCGAAGTAATGGATGTATAAAATATTAGTTTTTGGACTAAGTTACCTATGATAATTTTTATTATCCAGTACTGAAGTGCGTCGTGGTGCACCCTTTTCTATCCGTAGTGTCTTTGGTTATATTCCAATGGTGGAATCCAAAATCAATTTCTTTTCGGTGTTTTCCAATGGATTTTGTTATATTCTTACACAACTCTCAACGAAACACTATAAATTGTTTGTGTTTAATCACTATTACATTGAAGTAGGCACTTTTAGAGATTTTTAAATTTATTCAATAAGTAGCACAAAATCTTCCCTACCAGCGCACAAATTCAATATGGCGGATAACTATATGAAAGTCACGTGACTATTGACTGTGGTAGTGGTATGGTGGTGGTGGTGGTATATTTGGCGCCAAATTTCTAATCTAAATTTTATTCCATGTTTATATAACAATATTAGTTAAATACAAATAAAATGTAGATTTTAGGAATTCATATCAGATCTATTTATCTACAAACTGAATTAAAAGCCGGCTAAGAGCGAATCGTCGGGTTCCTTAAAAATGTCATTTTAAAAACTTTACTTTTAATGGGTTTTAGATTTTCATTATGTTTTTCTGTACTTACAAATAATTTATAGGTAAAAATTTGTCTCAGATTTTTTTTCAAAATTTAAAGCTCATGTATTTTCGGGTGCCTAACTAGAGTAATGATTCAATTTCACCTATTTGTTTTAACCTGTGACCAGTCAATGGTTCACACAAATGGACAAATTTTGGAAAAAATGGTATAAGGGCCCAAATTGTATTAAATGTACGCCAGCAACGGGCACATGTCATGCTCCATGGAAACTGTCGCGAATACCCGTCCATCATGGAGACTCCATTCAGTTTTAGTGATTCTAGAATTACTGAATATGTTATAGTTACTATGTCAAAGATGTACCGAAAGATATTTTTTTTTATTTACTGAACAAAGCCGTAATTGCTACCACTGGAGGACCCCGCATATGATTACACAATATATTTCTTCACGTAACTTTTTGTGAATTTAAAAAGTTACCAAAGAAAGGCCTCACATGTTATAAATTCATTAATTTGACTGACTGTAATTTACATTACAAGACCGCCTATAGTCACCATATCATATAAGTGTATTAAATTTTCAAGAGGTTTAGTTCTTTCGTGGTTGTTTCTTAGAAAATCGACCGTGACAAACGAACAGACATACAACAGAGTGATCCTAGAAAGGTTCCGTTGAAGCTTTAATAACCAATAAATAAGAAGGGAATTTTAATAAATAAGGATGGAATATTTTAATAAGCAATTCCGCCTCCTTCCTGTCTGTGTGGGGAATACTCCAAATTTGCTGTGCCCGACGGGGTCCATAATGATACTTTTGTTTTTTTTTTATAAACATCCTAGTACTACATTGTGGAATGCAATAAATAAATAAAATACTGCCCGGCTTCCCAACTGGGATTCTTAAAGCTTGCCCCGTGATCTTCCTTGCATTACTCTTATTCCCGCGGCCAACAGGATCCTTTCTATCGCCTTCCGACGCCACGAAAACTTAACCTAACCTACGGACTAACGGAAAAACTACTTCTAATTAATTATTCATAAGCTTCACCATTATTGCAAAAGTTCTGATCAAAAGATGAATTCACTTTTGGACTAACATTTATAAGCTTACCCATTTTTCAATATTCTTTTAATGACGAGAATTTTCGAAGTAAACACCCTCAAATACGATTTTCTGGTCGGACCACTACCTCATCACATAGCCTCATCACTACCATCGACCACTTACTACCTAGTCTAGCCATAAATTCTGTTACTGGCTGTTTACATACATTTAAAAAAAAACATTAATTTGAATTTCGAACATTAGCTTCTACGATAAAAAATAGACTTCTTTCCCGCCATTATTGTATGTTTTTTGTATAGAAATTATTTGTTTTGGAATGGGGCACTGAAGAAAATAGGATTGCAGTAATTGCACTGTACAAAGTAGGTAAGGAGCCAGCCGACATTTTTGATACATTGAAAAAGCTAGGGATTAGTCGAATGTTTGTGTATCGTACCATCCAAATGTACACTGAAACTATGTCTGTTGATGACCGTGTGAGAACCGGCCGACCGCGGTGTATTCGAACAATGCAGTCAAGGCCAGAATTCGTCGAAATCCTTTAACGAAGCAGAAAATCCTTTCCATAGAAGTGAGAATTCCACCGAGGACACTTTTTCGGATTATCAAACAAGAGTCAAAGATTTGTTACTTCGACATAGCTGTTATTTCGATACGCGGACGAAAAATACAAAAAAAAATCATTATTTATGAAAAAATTTTTACTTACAATCGAGGAGCACTACAATAAACAAAATGATCGAGTGTATGCACATAGCTTTAAAGAAGCTTCCAAAGTAGTTTGGTGGGATGTCTCCTACCAAGGGGTTACTAAACTCCACTTTTGCGAAAAAAGAGTGAAAACTTCAGCCAAAGTGTATCAAGATACCGTATAAGAAGCGGTAGTTAAACCTCTCAACAACACCTTATTCAAAAACGAAATGTATACATTCCAACAGGATTCAGCCCCGGGTCATTACCCAAATTTGGCGCGCACTACCCAAACGTTCCAGACTTCATAAAGGCTGATGATTGGCCTTCGGCTAGTCCGGACTTAAACCCTTTGGACTATAAATTGTGGTCTATGCTAGAGGACATGGCCTGCTCTAAGCGTCACCCAAATATTGAGTCGCTCAAGAAATCTTAGAGGCAGCAGTGACCAAGTTTCTAATGGAAACCGTTCGTAAATCCATCGACGAATGGCCCGAACGTTTAAAAGAGTGCGTTAAAGCTAAGGGTGGATACTTTGAATAACTAGTTTGGTACGTTAACATATCTTTTTCACTCTACATAATCACATAAAAAACTTTAAAATACAATTATTTATTAAGAAATTCTCGGATATTTTCTTTGTAACAGAACTTATCGCTAGACTAGGTATACATAAGTATGGCACTTGTTTCAAATAATGCGTGGCATCCTATGAGCGGCCCGCGATCGTTGTTGTTAAGCAACTTTCGCAAGGGTCGGTCACGGGATGGGTGACCAAAAAATTATTATCTCGAGCTACTTCATGCTTCGGAAGGCACTTTAAGCCGTTCGTCCCGGCTGCATTTGCAGTCGTTTATACCCTCCAATCCACATTGGGCCCGCGTATAAGGATGGCCTGAGCCCCTGCAGTGGGAACGTAAAAAGGGCTGATGATGATGATCCTATGTGGGTAATAATAATACATTATATCGACCTTTATCAATGATCTTTCTAAGTGGCCTCAATGAAAGATGAAATGGATTAATCAAATTCACCGTTGAATTTATATTTTTGTTTTTTGCAAATATTATGATGTAATGTTTAAAATCCAAACACAATACATATAATTAATTTTTATCCCTTCGTGATACTCCAAATTCCGTAATTTTGATATTGTACATTGAAAGTTGCTCACTTTTTACGTTGATTACGTATGACTTTAAGTTATCAGTTGAGTTAGCGAATAGGCCTGCAGTAAAAACGTAGAAAATATTTAAAAAAAAACGAAAGCACTAAAAAAGCACCTCCACTAGATGGCGACTCTAGTAAAAGTTGATTATTGCAGGAAACGAATGGACCAAAGATAGTCATTTCCGTTCCTTTTAACCATAGACATAAAAAAAGAGGACCGGCCTTACCTACGAAAAAAGCGTATATGCCTAAACTTCAAATGCAAATTCTTCGATGGCGGACTGTCATAGGGCGCGACCCATGATATCGATATTTGTATCGACATTGAAGTCATATTAAATAAAAGTTAGTATTTCGTGAAACTGCTACAATACTACTACTTATTAAATAATGTAATATAATTTTCATTGTTAGTCGCATGGCTAAACTATTACCTATTACACTTCTATTCATTTCACACTTACGTACCAATCCTATTTATGATTATTATTAAATAAATTGATAAATTCACGCCAGTTTTAAGAAAATAATATTTTGTTAAAAGTGGCGTGAATTTATCAATTATTTATAAATCATTAAGCAATCTTTTGCTCGTATTTTGTTGGACATCTAAAATTTCTTGCGTTCTTTGTTCTTGCGACTCCGTTGCGTCAGTATAGTAAATATAACCTATGTTACCAGCGTATGATGGCGCTTCCCACGGGTAAAAGATTATTCGTATTCCAAATTTCATCAAAATCCGTTCAGTAGTTTTTACATGAGAGTAACCAACATCCATCCTCACAAACTTTCACATTTATATTATTTAATAATATGATTGTACCTCGATAAATATGTTTCTTTTTCCTCTAATATAGCCAATTTTACATAGTTTTAGGAACTATAGTACCAAAATATATATCTTAAAAGTTTTACAATAATATCAATCGTGTTTTATAATTATTTCCATATATATTGTCAAGTTGACATTTTGCAATTATAATTAAATAGTTTTTTTTAACATAAGTTTAATTTTGCATCCACGGGAAGTGTGACTACTGTCCAAGACAACTACCACGGTAACTATAATAAGCTTATAATGAGTCGATTGACGAATGAATTATTATGTTATTTTTTTGTCTGTTATATATTTTTTATTGTTTTGGTGGAAAGTGACATTTTGGTCCAATGAAGTCATTTTTTTATTTTTCAGTACGAAATTAAACAGGGTGCAAAAGCAGCCCTTGCAGTTTCTTACCGGTTCCTTTCTTACAGTTTCTTCTTTTCTCGGTACAAGGCTTCCCGTAATAGATTGCCGAACTATAAGCACAGAGAGTCGACTTTTTTATATGCTTGTAACTAGTAAGCCAACTTGTCTATAAATTTATTCAATAAATTGTTTTGACTGAATAAATTTCGCTTACTCCTCATTAAGTGAGATACCGTGCGTACTGTGTCACAATTTTAGTTCAGAACATCTTGTTTAGTAGTAAACATAGAAAACTTGAAACACCTACATAATCTTTGTATTATATTATTTGTAAAAGAACATAAAAATACTGTAAACTTTGATGAATAAACAAGAGAAAATAAAGAAAACAAAGTTGGTGATGAAAAAGTGATATAATTTATTAAAGAAGTAACAATTGGCATTTTATTTAAAAATTTGGTTAGCAAAAAGAAAACAGCCGATTAATCAATGGGCAAGCATACAAATATTTTCTCAGCACTGAAACAGTCTGCAATTCATGTTCTGTGAACAATCATGATAATGGTCAGCAATTTCAATACAAAAAGGTAGCATATTTTATTTATGATGCATCAGCAAAATAAA